CAGGCATCAACATTCACTTCAGCCGAACGGAACTTCACCAACGCCTAAAAACCAAATTTTTCTCACAACATAAATAATTTACTCAAAAATTAAGGCCAAAATCTAATCAGAATTTCAAGATAACATCTCATTGTAAAATAAGATTGGGCCAAACTCAGTGTGTTAGATAGATAACATCAAAAATCCATTATTTTAATAACAGTGCAACATTAATAACATTGGAGCAAGCAAGTGGTGCGTATGTTTTCAATTAAAGAAACCACCAAAAGACTTTGTATATCATATTTTTTTCATTAGTGCTCCCCCTTGTCTTCTCCATTAAAGTTACAGAAGAAAACAAAGAAAACTCCAAAACGGAATCTGAAGAGAACAGCACAGATGGCTCATGTCAAAGCTCTCCAAGAGGAGTTTTAGAGATTCCTACCTCAAGCATTCATTCTGACACTGCAAGCAGCAACGATTCTTCTTCCTCCATTGATAGATCTCTGAGTCCTGAAGGGACTGTGCTAGAATGTCACAGCTCACAATGGAGGAATCTGATCGGCGGGCTGTTGCAGAGGAAGAAGAGAAACATCATGAGGCTGTCGACCTTCCCGCCGGCCATGAAAGCTTCGTGCTTGGAGAGGAAGTGCTTGGGAATGTTTCAGAGCGGTGAAGAACAACCCAAGGGAGGATTAGTTCAGCTGGAGATTCCGATGAGGAAGCCATGTTGGAGGAATTTCGACCTGCAGGAGCTTGTGGCGGCTACTGATAACTTCAGTCATGGTAAATTCTTGTAAATTTGATTTATATTAAGTTTCAGTAGAATTTCTGTTGAATTAGGATGTAAATTTGAGTTTTTTTTTGGTGCAAAGTTTGTTTTTGGGGTAAAATCAAGTTAGTTTAAGGCTATTTTAGTTGATGTTGATAGAAATATGGAAGATTTTGCATTACATACCACTTAGCTCACATATGTTTACATATCTATTCTAATACCAAAGCTTCAATTTTTACATACATGCCATCTTACCTAAACAAAAAATGGTGTATTTAACCAAAAATAAATAAATAAAGTTAAGTAGTATTTTTGATGTGATATGAAAGATTTCAGTGGTTTAAATGTAAAAAAATAAAGTTTAGGTATTAGATATGGAAATACATGAGAATTGAATGGTATGTTTATAAATGACCCTAGAAATTAATGATGACATCTAATAAATTTACCATTTTTCAAAGCATTTTTTTTACTGAATTCAAGCAAACAATTTAGCCCTTATGTCATTGTTTAATTTCTTCATGAATCTACCGAATATAGAAGCAGTTAATTTGGTTGTATTTATTTAACAGGATGCTTTTTATATATATTTTCTTAACCAAACTATAGTCTTATTTCATCAGTCTTTGAAAGTTGTTACTAATCACATAAATAATATAAAAAGCTGATAGCTTTTTAGCTCTTAATCCTCTGATTACTTAATTTAATTATTTTAACACTATGACTGTTTTTGGCTTTGGATGCATACAGTACACAGATTGAGCCATTCAACACTTTTCTTTGTTTACTTATGAGTGGTTGAGTGACATAAAACTTGTCCTATCTCTCCTAAACATGTTCATCTCATGATGTTACATACATTTTTTTAATTTAAGCAGCTGTAAATATCACTAATTACACTTTTCTTGATCAAGGTAAAATATATATAAAAAAATTT